TTCGCCTTCCTCTGTCACACCGCCCGCTCGCTGGGGAGAGCCCACCTCCCTCGCTCTTCAGAGCAAAGCGGGTGGGAGGCCGAGCCGGGCACGGGTTGTTTCCCCACAGTCTTTCCCCAGGCCTGGCCGGGGCGGACCAGGCTGATGTGGGGGGCGAGGCCGCCCGGCTTTGCCTCGGCTCCAACTCGCCCCTGCCCGCCGGTAAGACGCCTCCCAAGGGGCCCCCTTCAGTGGTAGAGGGGCCTGAAGACCATCTCTCCCCCATCAGCCTGCCGCCTCCCTATGCTGTGCACAGTGACTGTAAGAAACATTCCCCTTCGTAGCCACCGCTGTCTGTCTTGCTAAACCTGCTCCCCTTTGCCCAGGCATCAGGGTGAGGAAAGGACCCCCTGCTTTCTGCCCCCACTGCTCCCCCCAGGCAGGGTCGCTGGCTCTGGTCTGGCTCCAGCAAATCCAAACCAAGCCATCCTCCACAGCTCGGCAATTGCAGTGGAAATGCTTCCCTTCCCTCCCACCTCCAGACCTACCTTCCTGGCAGTTATAAGATCCCCTTGGTTGAAAAACCTGGAGAGATGGGAAAGTTAGTTGTACGCAAAGGAGCTGGGAGGAGGATGAGGTACACACACCTTGCGGTGCAGGCACTGAAACTGCTCCCCTCCCGCTTCAACCTCCTCTCCCTGCTCAGACCTGCCAATGCAATTATTCACTGTCTGTAGTGGGCGCGAGTCCTGGTGGAGTTTGCGCTGTGTGGTGGGAAGCACTGTGCACATCCTGGAGTGCTGCTGAGTGTCATTAAATCCTCCTTGGATCCTGATCCTGAAATTGGCGTGTCCGCACGGAAATTTGCGGAAGAGTAGTGGTGGCGGAGTTAGGAGCTTGATGCAGGGCAATCCACATGAACCAGCTCACAGTAAGACAGCTTACAATCCAAATGACAGATAATAATAATGCCTTGCTAATAATAGGTCTCCTACAATAGCAGATACAGGATTTTCACAGCGGTATGTGCATGTTATGTTAACTCTGGTGGCTTTTTAAAGTGAGAGTTAATATGACGCAGTAAGAAGTGGCAAAATACTTACTTGAATTGTGGAGATACTCACTTAGCAAAGGCAGAGACATAGCTTGGAGGTTGCTCCCTTTGCCCTTGCTCAGCCCTCTCTGTTTAGCTCATTGCAGGATGCAGACAGTATCCAGTAATTGGGATTCATTTTTATCTCCTTATCTGGAGGCATGTCCTTCCCCTGAGCCTGCTGCAGATCCAGCCGTGGGCAGCCCCGCTCTGGTTTCTCCGGGAGCAGCCGGGCTAGTGCAGTGTGGAGGCACCGAGCAGGAATCGCGTGCCGTGGCTCTACTTTGCATCCTCTCCCCAGTACCCATCTCCTCTTCCATCTGTCCCCCCACATGCACATCTATGCCCTTCCCCATTTAGTCTTCTCTCTTTCCTTTCCTTGCTTGTGTTTCCGCCCTGCTGGAATCTTTCCTGGGCTGCCGCCTCCGCCTGTCCCACCCTGGGCTCCTGCAGCTCGCAGACCAGCAGCCCCTGACGTCTTTTCAGCCCCTCTGCACAGGGAGCTTGGCCAGAAATGCTTTGTCCCAGGGCTCCAGCCCGCCAAGCCTGCAGGGCCATCACACGCAGTGATCTTCTTCTCCATGGCGAGCTGCGTGGCGGGATAGGTACCATCCTGCAAAAGGCAGTGATCAGCCTTTCAGGCGGCTGCGCTGGTCCCTTCCGCACAGGCTTGCTGTGGCGCCGGGGGCGAGAGGAGCATTAGGGGGACAGAGGCGCAGGTCAGTTTGTAGCTCTGGCAGAAGGTGCAGGGTGGGAGAGCAGTGAAGCTCCATCTTCCCAGGGTGACAGTATTTTTAGGATGCCTGCTTGTATCTTGAAACTTACTTCTGGGACTGTGGTTCCTGAAGAGCTGGTTTCTCTGCAGCAGCTGGAGGAGACAGGCAGCAGTAGTGGTCCTGTCTGTTCCTAGTGTCCAAAACCTCTCATTGTTTCCTCCTCTTTTCCTGTGGATTGGGTAAGATAGAAGTGGGAAGAAAGACGACCTGTGTTTTACCTGAGCTACGGTAGTATCAATAGGCAACCTCTTCCAGAAATCTCTGTTTCCAGGGTATAGACGCAGGCTTTGCCAAGCAGAGCTGAGTCCCAGGTTATTGACCAGGATGGTGTTTTCAGAAAGGGATGACAGTTTAGTCTCGATCTCTTAACCCTGCGGATCAAACAGATGGGCCAGGCTGAAAG